CCCCAAAACCCCAAAACCCCAAAACCCCAAAACCCCGTGGCGTTCAGGATATATTGTTTGGCTGTGGATTAATATAAATTCTTAATAAAGATGAATAAAGTTCTAAACCTAACTATACTAGCCATACTCTGCATGGCCTCAAGGCAAGTGAATGCCAACCAGTGATCTTCCTTGGTGGACTCTAATCTTGGAGGATTCTCTTTGAAATTTAAATACCTGGATTCAAATCGAGAAGTGACCAATATTGTCCCTTCAAGCGATCTAAACAGCATTTTCGTGGCTTCAAAAGCATCAGTAGCTGTTTCACCCACAGATTTTACACAGACCAACATCGAGAAGAGACTCTCTGATTTTACTCAATCCTGGGTGATTTCACTTAATTATGTGATTGAAACTAATTCGGTAGTGATTGACTCAAGTGACAAATATCTCTATATAACTAAGTATGATATCTCAGATAGCCTTATTGCCAAAATATCGGCTGAAGATGGAAGCATTGTGAGTGCTTATCAGACAGACACCGGCCTTTCTGGTTGCAAACATCTTACCTTATCTCCGAATGAGGAGAACCTATACTTGGGGTGTCCAGATGGAGGAGGAATTATTATCACTGAGATTACTACAGCTGATTTCTCTATCAGTCATTCTATCCTAATGATTCCGACCGAACTACTTTCGATAAACCCTTATACAAAAAGTGAGACATACAGGACTTTGATCCTTGGTACCTATGATTCCACAACGACGAACATCACTTATTACTCTTATAGTTTCCCTTCTTCAAATATCAATTTTGGCATTAAGATTGGGTGAGTAGACACATGTTCTGTTTTGAGATCAGCTGAGACTGCTGTTATGCAGTCCACAGATCTTTTTGCTATTGGGTATATTAATGATAATACACAGGAGAGTCTTCTCCTGGTAGGGCTCACCAATGGGTCTTATGCCGGCAATTATGCTGTGAGAAATACTGGGCAAGGTTCTCCTAATAGAAATATCGTTGGAATTGGTCAGCTTGGTGACACAGACAGACTATATTTGATGAGTAGCTATACTTCAGAAACTCTATTATGGATCTATGACATATCCTCTAAGACTTTCTCTACAGCTTATAGTGGGTCTCGCGAGATGACAACCATTGTTGCTAAATTTGGATATTTCATTATGGCTACTCATGATGCAACTGAGAATGTTCCATATTTATACAAGATTGCGTATGATGACACATACATTACTAAGGAGGTATTATCAAAGACTGATTCATTGATGGATACTTCTCTAACCCCAATGGCAATGTCTATGTCATCGACTCTAATCACTTCAGTTACTTCTTCAAGGACGCTAACGTCTGTGAGTCTTACTACAACAGTAAACTCTGCAATCCAAACAAATGAGATATCCTCATCTCTGTTGAATACGAGAAATAGCTCTTATCAGACTATCTACATACCAGCTGGAGGCAAGAACACCGCAAATTTGACTTCTCCATGTTTGTCAACTTCTGGATATACTTTAAGTGCTAGTTTGACAACCAACCAGAACGGAGAAAGCTCTCCATCTTGGATAAGTTTGAAGGATGACTTTTCAGCAATTATTGCTGATGCACCTGAGATTACTAACTCTCAGAGTACTTTCTATCTTGGGATCAGTTTCAGTTATTCTTCCTATGTGTTTACACAATACAGCACGATCAGTTTGTTCGAATGTGGCATTTCTAACTGCAATGGATGAGAATACAACACAAAGGATACCAAGTGCAGTCAATGCAAAGATGGATACAAATTTTCACAAGATGGTAAATCATGAGATGAAGAGCTGCTTCCAACTCAAGCCCTTGCCACAACCACCGCTGTGGTAATTGCAGCATCAGCAAGTATCGGAGCTGCAAGCTCGATAGTATCTTCAGGTTCAGGCTCAAGCTCTATATGGGCGGTCATGAATCAGTATCAGCTGTATCTTTTGTTCCCATTGATTCAAACTTATTTACCAGGTGACTTCGTATTTTATCTAACAGAATTCGAACTCTTCAACTTTGATTTTGAGTTCCTTGACAAAGCCAAAGCTCCAGGGATTGAGTCCTTGGTTGATGACCTGGACTACAACGCCTCAAGCGCCATTTTCAGTCAGAATGGGTTCAGTTCTGGAAGCTTCGTTGTGAATCAGTTTCAGTTCTTCAAAGTCATCGGTATTCTCGGAATTTTCAACTTCGTATTTATTGGAGTGTATTATTTGATTCCTAAACTCAGACAAAAAGAATGCTCGAAGAAAATATATGGATGGCTGATTCCATTCTTCTATTTTGCTGCTTACATAAGGATGGTGATTGAAGCGTTCTTGTTTGCATTCATCAGCTGTTTGCTTGAGATCACCACCTTCTCTTCCCTGACCAAGCAACCAGTGTCTTTCTGTTTTTCTTTGGTGTTTTTTAGTTGATTCATAAGCCTTCCATTTCTAATTTATCAGCACTTCAAAAAATATAACGAGAATGGAGAAGTCAGAGATTCATCGAAGCTGTCAGAATTTTACGAAGGATATGCAAATGGCAAAAAGAATAAGCTGTACACAATTGTGTTCTTAACAAGAAGGATCGCCACTGCAGTCTGTCTGGTCTGCATGAGGAACACTCCCGCTTCAATGATATGCTTGATCTTCTTTGTAATCCAGCTGCTGCATTTTCAATACTTGATATTTAACAGACCGTTTGAATCAAAGAAAGACAACATCATTGAGGTTTTGAACGAAGCTGTGTTTCTGACCCTGACACTGATCATCACATTATTCCAGGAAGAATCTGACTGGAAGAAAGGGATGGCTACAGTCCTAATCATGATAGTGATGATAAATGGATTTATGATATCGTTTATCATCATGGTTGACAGCTGCATCAGCATATCTAAATCAATCAAGATATGTAAGCGTAGACAGAATAGAGTAGAGACTTTAGCCAACAACAGACTACAGGCAAGGAATAATGCTAAAGAAGATGTCTCTGATAATACCAAGATTGGTGCCCTACCTCAAAAGTAAGTTTTATCCGTTTTTAAATATTTTAAACTACGAAATTTACAATTTTCGAATAGAAAAGAAGTCATAGATCAGAACTCAGAGAGAATGGAGAAATTCAACCATGAAGATCCTAGTATAGCTGGCTCAAGAACTCCTAATACTTCTAAGATGTACATCAACGAAGGAATAAGCAATGAATTCGAGGACTAGCCCAACTCTTGGCCACCGATAATTCTTTAATTCCAATTAATCCACTCCATCCCGGGGTTTTGGGGTTTTGGGGTTTTGGGGTTTTGGGG